GTATTACATATCAAGAATAAATTAAATCATTGATTTAATTTATTCTTTCCATAACTGTTATAGTAATCATTTCCATGTAAAATGTAGCTGTAAATGTTTACCTAATTTAGCTCCTAATTAGTCTCCTATCCATGTATACATCCTGGCTATATATAGCCCCTTTGTAAATTGGTTTTATACACTGAAATACAACACAGAAATCTCAATACCTTTCAGTTTGGTGTCCCGGTCGACCACCCAACCATCATAGGATCGTAAATCCAGCCACTCTGCGCGATGGCCGGAGCAGGATGTTGAGACACCGGAAAACTGTAGACGTACACGTAGTTGTGTGGTTGACCATGAATGGTCGGAGTCTGATGATAGTATGGATTCATCTTTGAAGCACAATTAAGTCTTCACCGCTGCACGAAGATTTAAACCAAAAACATATGATTGATCGAGTGGGTTAACGAAAAAGAGAATGAATCGATCACACGATGATGGTGTTCCTATTTATAAGTATGTTTACTTGTACTTCAAGAATCAAATCTGCTCATTAGTATCCAAGATTTGCATTCTTAATCGAAGTATGATACGTTTAGATTCGATTTAAAAATTCTACTAGATTCTCCCACTTTAAAATGCGGTTAAAATCATTTAACACAGAGTAGAAGGTACTCGCACAATGCATCGAGATACATCTTGATTTTAATATTTTATTTAATTTTTTATCTCAGTCGATGTTATAATATGATCTTATGTGATTTTGAAAAAGCGATGATGTTTTTATTTTTTAATAAAATATAAATTTGAAGATATCATAAAAATTTGACAAAAAATATATCGGTATTAGTATCAAATTAACTATTTAAAATTCCTTATTTTTTGTGTAATTTTTAATTCAATTTTTTTTATTATAATTTAATTTAGGTGAAGTAATTTGTATTTGGTTTAATAATATAATTTTCTTATAAAGATAATAATTAATTATTTTGTTAGAACTCGATAATTATCCTAATTATATTTTAAATTTTTTATATTTTAAAATAAGATATTTATCATCTATTTGATTATGTTTATCCGCAGTTAGTTATACAAATTCAAATATCGAGCTTTAATAAGTTGTACTTTTATATAATTTACTTGTAATCTTGAATTTTAAGTAAACATTGGTTTTATGTGGTATTGAAAAAGTGATAATGTTTTTACTTTTGAATAACATATAAATTTAAAAATATCGTAAAATTTTAAAAAAAAAATATCAATATCAGTATTAAATTAATATTTTTAAAAATTCTTGTGTTTTTGTGTAATTTCTATAATTAAATTTTTTTAATTATAATTTAATTTAGGTTTAGTAACAAAGAAATTTAATTTAGATTTAATTATATAACTTTTTTGTAAAGATAATAACTAAATATTCTGTTAGTTATCAATAATTATCCTAATTATATTTTAGATTTTTTATATTTAAAATGAGATGTTTATCCAATATTTAATTATGTTTATCTGCAGTTAGTTAGACGAATTCAAGTATGGAGCTTTAATAAGTTGTACTTATGCACAATTTACTTATAATCTTAAATTTTAAGTAATATGCATCAATAAACAGTATTTCGTGCATAAAAAATCGTTTTCAAGAGTTTTTGTCAAATATTTTATAATATAGTATAGATTTACTTGTAATCTTAAATTTTAAGTAATATGCATCAATAAACAGTATTTCGTGCATAAAAAATCGTTTTCAAGAGTTTTTGTCAAATATTTTATAATATAGTATAGATTTACTTGTAATCTTAAATTTTAAGTAATATACATCAATAAACAGTATTTTGTGTATAAAAACTCGTTTTTAAGTGTTTTTGTCAAATGGTTTATAATATAGTATAGATAAAGATGGAAAGTAACGTGAATGTTATAAATTTAACAAAATACCAAGTTGATCAAAAATACGTATTCAACATCTGACGTTGCTTTCCGACGAAGGTTAGAACACCTTCACTTCAAAGAATCCATAAAGAAACCCATAAGAAAAAAAGTTCATGTACGACCTTCATATTCTTACTTCATGAGCTCAAAGAACCCAATGGCGATCAACATCATAACCCACAAATCATCAACACATTTCGTGTACAACAATGGCTGAAGATAACGAGTGGGTGAAGAATGTGAGCGAAGAACTGAAGCAAATGGGAGATTCGTCATCCGAAATGGAACAATGGAAGAAGCGATCCATTTACCGAGTTCCGTCTTGCGTGACGGATCTGAACAAGAAAGCGTACCAACCGCAATCGGTCTCTTTCGGGCCGTACCATTTTGGAGAACCGAACTTGGAAGCCATGGAAGAAAACAAACATCGAGCTCTTCTTCACTTCTTGAAAAGATACAAGAAGCCCTTCAAATGTTATGTGGATGCTGTGATGGAGGTGGTGGACGATCTTCGCCATTCGTACAGTTCGCTGGATCAGAAATGGAATCAAGATACATGCGGTTTCGTGAAGATGATGATCTTGGATGGGTGTTTCATGCTGGAAATCTTGCGTACAGCAACTACTCAAGTTGGTGATAGTGAGAATCCGGATGATGATGTTGATGATTATGCTTCTAATGATCCTATTTTCAGCAACCATGGAAAGCTCTACATTATGCCGTACCTCAAGCGAGATATGCTCATGCTCGAAAACCAGTTGCCGATGTTGCTTCTTAACAAGATCGTTGCTGTTGCGAAAGACGAGAAGGACCCGAACCAGGTGATCCCGTTTACTGTTTTTGGGATCTTTTTTGTATCACGAACTGTTTGTCTCTATCTTCTGCGATCGATATTATAATCTCACGTTTTTATGTAGTACCTACAATTGTTTGATCTTATAAAAACAAGTCCTATTATAAAGCAGCAAACATTACAGTTTACTCAAATCAATCTGCGCAGCATGATGATGAATTCGTGAACAAAATGATGCAAAAGTTCTGCTCCCCGAACACTCGAATCACAAAAATGGGCAAATGCCTGCATCCACTCGATGTCTACAGAAAGGGCCTACTATGGGAGAATCCACACCACAAGAAGAAACCGATCACGAAATCGTACCATCGACTAGTCATCGAAGAAGGTGAAGAGATCGTCAGATCCGCCACCGAGCTATACGAAGCCGGGATCCGTTTCAAGAAAACCAAATCCAGAAGCCTGAAAGGCATATCTTTCCATGGCGGCGTGTTGAAGCTTCCGCCGGTGATGGTGGACGATGCAACAGAATCGTTGTTTCTGAACCTGATAGCTTTCGAGCGACTCCATGTTGGAGCCGGGAACGAGGTGACGTCATACATATTCTTCATGGATAACATCATCGATCACGCCAACGACGTCAATCTTCTGCATTCCCAAGGTATAATCCAGAATGCGATCGGTAGCAATAAGGCGGTGGCTAAACTGTTTAACTCGCTGTCGAAGGATATCACGTTGGAGCCAGAGAGTGAACTGGATATCGTGCATAACCAGGTGCATAATTACTGCAAGAAACCATGGAACGAGTGGCGAGCGAACCTCATCCACACCTATTTCAGAAGTCCGTGGGCTATCCTGTCGGTTTTTGCAGCGGTTTTGCTTTTCGCACTCACGATTGTTCAAACAGTCTACACTGTTTTCCCTCACAGTGGCAGTTGATACCAGTTCTTCTGGTACATCATATGCCCCTTTAGAATTCAATTTTTACTGGGATTTACCGGGTTAGTTTGGTTTGTTTAACGTATTTCTGGGAAAGAATCTTTCTCGATGCTAATGTACGAATGTAATCTTTTACATTTTCGAAGAGGTATTAAATACACATTATTGTTCTGCCATGTATAAGCCGCTATATTTTGAGAGGTGCTTTAGAATATTATAAAATACAAGAAACGCCAACCATAAAACCAAAAAGTCACTTGAAATCAATGAAAAAAACCGAAAGAGGTCATCGAAATCAACCAAAAACTCAAAAAATACCTCGAAATCGACCAAAAAAAAAAGTAAAAATCCCTAAAGATATAATTCGGCTAAAAACACAATCGGGTGACTTTATAGACTTCTGATCCACCGTAAAGATATATCTGCTCGGCAAAACCATTGGATTCGCCGCTTGCTATTACATGTTTACAGTTTTCAAATGCATTCCCATACGATAGTCGACGGCATATGTTTTGGTTCATAAACAATAAATTTTGACTGACTGGTTAGAAGTAAAACAAAAACATGTTTGTTTTTTGTTCTTGTCTTTCAAAATACCTAAAAGAATCTTATAACCTGCTCAAAAGTATGGTTACAAAGTCTACAGAAAGGCATACATGCCGATCATGTATGGATGAGATATACATGTGTTCTTCGAAGGCAAAGGTTGATGATTTTAATCAACAATGTGTTTCTTCAGGAAATCGCCCATAAAAAATCTAGTTCAAGAAGCTCTTTATCATTTCAGATGTCAGACATCCTCACCAGTTCATTGTACAGAATGCGGTCATCTCTCCCGGTGTTGCTTTCCAGAAGTGCACTTTGAACGAGTTCCTGATGCATAAATACAAGTTAAACATTTGGCAGGTCTTTCATTTTCAACAAACAAAACTGTATGAAACAATGGAGCATAACAGATAGAGCTTGAAAGCAAACACTATTTTCTAAACTAGTATACTCCTAAGGAAAGATGAAGGAAATAAGATTTTATTGATCGACAGCTAGCTATACATGTTCTTATGGACATTCAAGCTAATATCCCTTTTCGCATACGGTACTTGTGAGACCAGAAATGCATATGTTTTTTCTCAGAGGAGACTAGTGTAGTAGTGTTGATTGAAAGAGAGAATCGAGGTTCGTTAAACGGTGAATGATCTTTCTCAATACAGAAATGCTCATGTTCATCACTGTAGGATTTGGGTTTGGGTCTTCATTACATGGATCATATTCATAATTTATGAGAATACTCGAACAAATTAAAATTTGCAACAAAAAATGATGTTCAATAACTTTTTGCAAAGTTAGAGATATGGAGAAACGCCTCGGATCGAATACCCTATAGATTAAACCAGATTACATGTTTGGAAGATAAGCAGTTTGGTAGGATATATTTTATCCGACGAAAAACATCCTTGTGCGATGGAGAAGTGCCATTGAAGCTAAAAGGTGAGTTCAATAGAATTTCAAGCCGGTCATGGTTTACAAATGGATGGTCGCTAAAAAATCTAGAATGGGATTAGAAATACAAAAGGTCATGTTGGCACTAGTTGATGAGAAGTTGAGACATCAACATGGTTTGGTCATCTATACATAGACACTTCTGAGAGAAATACATGAGGGGAGTAATCCCGAAACAGAGGTAAAGGTCAGCCAAGATTGGCAAAAAGAGGAAGCAATGAAAGAGCCCTCCAATTGTCCACTTCTTTGTAAGTAAGTTGTGTTGCATCTCTTTATAACTTCTTTTTCCTTTTCTAGAACATGCAAATTCCTTATGGTTTCATTTCTAACCTACCCCAACTAGTTTGGGATTCAATGCGTATTATTTTTGTTATAAAAGGGTTATTACCTTGACATCCCTATGGGACAAGAAATTCCCCAAATTATGGATGATCAACCGCATATCTTCAACCTAAGAAGAAATGGATTTAATATTAATTAGACATCCCTCACCACTGAACATGAAAATGATGGAACTGAAATACTAATTCAACTTACCCTGATGTGGCCAACTCGATTTCGGTCAAAAAACCTGAAAGCCTGTTTTGAGGAAGAATGCAGTTATTAAAATGAGAAAGAACCTGAGCAGCAATTTTTTTATTAATTAAAAAAAATCATGGAAGCATCACGACAATGAGATTTGAAGAGAACATGCCTGCAAAAGTTCCTTGTCGATGTTTTCTTTATTTTTTACATCCACCTTTGCCTTTTCCTTTTCCTGTTTATCTGCATCCTCCAATTTAACATTTGAATTCACAGTTTCTTCGCCATCCCCCTCTTGTTCAACTTTCACCTTCTTGTCCACATTTTTGGACTTCACATCTATGCCAACTTTCTCAACAGCGGCCTTCTCCTGTAAACGGATCATAGAAATCGATATCAGATCAACACAACACCAAAATGTTTGAAATAGGAAATCTCTACCCTTCAGGAAACACCTAATAATCGATCCACTTTTGAAGCTTTCAAGAAAATGAGATGACACTCTTACTACACACCATGGGATATAAGTTGAAATAATGGTTCGACCACCAAATTAACTTTTTCCCGGATAATCCATTAAATTAAAATAACTATTTCACCAAGCTATGCAAATATATATAAATTCACATCAAGAACACCCGACTTCCTGCCAGAAGAGTGTAATGCCTAAAGAGATTAGATAGAGAGGGAGAGTGCAAAGGAAAGAATAGAGTGCCAAGATTGCCTCATTCTCTGTGTCATCTTTAGGGCTTGCATCAGTCATATCTTCATCTTCTTCAGGATCTTCTTCGGGATCTTCTTCGGGATCCTCTTCAGGATCCTCTTCGGGATCCTCACCTTCTGGTTTTGTGTTTTCTACATTCTCAGTAAGCATATTTTCCACCTTGGTAATAGTTTTTTCATCCTCCTTGATGGCTTCTACCAGTGGTTCAGTTTCAACAGATTTGTTTTCCACTGTGGAATTATCAGTTTTTATACGCTTGGTGGATGTTTTCACTTTTTCCTTCTCCTTCGCAGAAATTTCTTCCAATTGTCTCTTCTTTTCGTTTCTTTTAGCCACAAACTTGATCCGTAATTTCTGAGGTAAAGGAAATAAGACCAGCAATAAGAAAAATGGAAACAGAAGCAGTACCCACAAAAACGAAAAATAACAGAGGAACTAAACAGTGCATCACTAACTGGTATTAACTCGAACCAACCTGGAGAAACGTTAAAAGCCGAGAACCCATTTGATACTGAAGCATTTCATAAATTGTTTCAGCAAATAGCGATAACTGCCAAGAGGGGGGAATTGTAGAAGGAAATGGTAAATTAACATATGCAATGAAGCAATTACTTTAATTTTAACCAAGAGAAATTTGATGCAGTTGTCGTAAGCAGAGAAGCAAAACGAATAATATATGTGTAAACAACACACCTCAAATGTCGATTCTTCAATATCATTATCATCATAACCCAGGAGGGAATCCAGTGAAAGTGACAATGAACGCAACTGTCACAGATATCACAATTGCATGATGCACATATTCATAACCCAATGTGATAAAGAAGCATTTCATTGTAAAGATTATAGTATAAAAATCACTTACTTTAGAACTGTTGTTCTCTTTTGTTTGGAGAAGCAACCCAGGATGCCTAGGAGGCTCTTCATCCTTTTTCTTATCTTTCACTTCTTTACCCTTCGATTCTGCTTTACCGTCATTGTCTTTTCTCACTTTTCCCTCCTTAGATTTCTCTCCATCTTTTAATTTCTTATTGTCAGACTTCATTTTGGATGAAGAACCACTATCCACTTTACCCTTCTTCTCTTCCTTTTCACGATTATTTTCACCCTTGATTTCATTTTTAACTAGATCACCCCCATTCTTGTTCTTCTCAGGGGCCACACTTGGAGCCTTTGTCTTTGAGACTGATTCATTGCTTTCTACTTTGACTTCACTTTCCTTGTTGCCTAATGTTAAATTTTGCTCCCCAGTAGTTATTCCTGCTTCCTCTGCCACGTTATCCTTATTGTTGGCAACCTTGGCAACAACCTTTCTCTTAGTAACCCTTTTGATTATTTTCTTCTTGATGGTTGTCTTCCCACTTGCACTGCCTGCATCTGCATTCTTTGGCTTATTTTCAGAGTTCTCTTGCTCTTTAACTGGTATCACCTCAGATTGTGTGCCTTCATCTTCTTTCTTCACGGCTTTTGTCACAGGAACCTTTTTGGTAACTTTCTTCCTTGTAAAAGTCTTAACAGCGGAAGGATTACCAGATGCCTCTTCGTCTCGATTAGCAGCCACTGTGTTTGTAGTAGTCTCTCCCACCTTCTTAGGAACTAATGTATCACTTTGTTCGGCTGCTTTTCCAGCTTTATCTTTTTCAGCAACCTTCTTTTTTACAACTTTTCTTATAACTTTCTTTTTCCCACTACCAGTCGTCTGAACAGGAACAACTTCTATCGGATTTATCTTTTCAGAATTATCGCCTTCACCAATTGTCTCAACCCCACCTTTCTTCTCCATTACCGTATTGCTTTGAACCCCCTCTTTTCCAGATTCTTTTACTTTACCTTTTGCCTTTTCAATGAGTTTTGATGCCGACCCAGATAATCCAGATGCTTTCTTTTTTTCTGGTTTTGCATCATTCTTCAGATCTTTGGTTGTCCCAGGTTCCTTATCTGAGCAGAATCAATAGGCTTATAAAAGCTCAATTTTAAGCACTTCAAAAAAAAGAAATAAATAAATTCCACAGATGCTCACAACCATACCTTTCAATCCTTCCTTCTTTCCTTGAGATATCTATATTAATCGAAACAGAAGATGGAAGCAAAAAAATTTAGTTTCAGAAAACGGTGCAACAATAAAATGAGAAAGAAGGATTAATATAAAACCGAAGGGCCAACACTGTAGATGACAAATTGGATTACCTAGTTGCCCAGAAGATGAATCAAATAACTGAAATATTAATATAATACGACAAAAGACTCGAATGTGTACCACATAGTTACTGATATGCAATGAAACATGGTTCAACTTCTGACATACATGGTGGCAAAATATGCCACTTGATATAAGTTCCTAAAGAGCCAGCAACAGACTTTAAAGGCACATCACCGAATTTTAAACTTATCCTCCATCCTGGGAACTGCATTAGGAGGCGTCAAAAGATTGGTGGGGCTGGTTTAACTCACAGCTGCAGGGCCAACCACCTCTTGGATTGTGCAAACATGAAAGGGGTTTAAGCTTTTGAAACTAATCAAGGTTGATGACACGTTATGAAAAAACCAGAAGAGAAGAATTTTGCTTCCAGACAAACATCTACAAACTCTGACAATGGAAGACATGAATGCCAGAAACATCAAAGGTCCATCCAAATAATCAACAGTTACCTGATATGGACAACAGACATTTTTCTCTTACTTAAATCCTAGCAAGTAGCAAAACAATCTTTACTATTTCGGTAAAAACACATGACTGCATCTATAACATCCTCATCAGGTCCAAAATAACAAACTATATCTGCTTCCCCATCAACATCTGAAATTGCACCTTATGTAATATGTTATAGACCAGCTAAGGGATCAAAATATTTTTCCAGTCTCCGGAAACATAGGTGCTAATTTATTACTTCCATACTAACCACAGTTTTCAGCCACAATCCTTCCGTAATACTTCCCTTTTGGTTTTACATTTTACTATCACTACCTACATCCTCAATGCCCTTCCTTGTAATGTTTTCTTAGTTCACGTTTAATCTCACATTTTAGCATACAAAAATTAGGTGGGGAAGACGTACGAGAAAAAGCAAGTAGTGAAAGAAATTGCTTCTCAAACTGAGAAGGAAAAGGGTCCCATCTCTCCCATTTCTTATTTCACTTTTCAGCCCACGAAAGCTAGTTCCCATGTTATATCTTTCCTTTAAGCCCACCGTCTAGACAAGCTGGCTAGAGAGAAAGGGTTGAGAAGAGAAGGGAGCTGATACAAACTTCATGGTTAAACTAGAAGGACAGAAGATCCTTCTCTCCCTCCCTATGGAATACTTTTCTGGCTTTCTCTGTGGTTTCACTTTTCAGCCTACAAAAGCCAGGTTAAGAGGACATCACAAAAAAAGCACAAACTGGAACTTAAGAGGAAACTGAAAATATAATTGGGCTTCACATTGTTAAATCCACTTAATGAACACATGAATAGTTGAACTGCTTTTATTCTTAATCTTCAACAAATGAACACATACAGTGCATTTTCACTTTGCTTCCAACAATCCACGCCAACTTGATCTATATCTTGGTAAAGACTGGTCAATTAATGGAACCAAATAAGATGATAAGCCTCATCCTTGCTGTCTAGAGGCAGAAAACTGTCCTACATTTAGGAGTTGCATATAAAAATTTTGAGGAAAATCAAGCACCTCAAATAGAATCTACCTCTATCAACTCAACATCCCTTTTTTGTTTTTGATCTAAGCAAACGGGAAACTGACACACTACACAAGAAGTCACTTCAACAAAAATCCATATACCATGAAACCACACCTGCAGGATGTCGTAGGGGCTGAAGTCTTGACTTCACATACAATTATCAGATAGTGCACAACTACAAAAGCGCAAAAATTATTTTTCTGTTACATTTAGTGAAGCTGGTGATTCATTTGTATTTTCCTCCTATTCTATTTTTAACTGCATGTAAGATAAAAACAATATACCTCTCTTTTAAGAGCATGCCGACGCTCTCGCTCAGCAATAGCTTTCTTGTGGGCAAGCCACTGATCCCTCCATGCATCTACTGAAGGTAAACAATCTGATAAATCAGGAATGAAGAGTACGGTAACCTCCTTATGGCTAAAAAGACCATCTTTCCCAACCCGATCATAATGAATCTGAAAACATACATAAAATTAGTATCTAAAAATAAAAGTAAAAAAACAGTTCTCGATGCAACAGTAAGCTCAACAACTGAGATAAATGTAAGTGCCATGGTCCTGGTAGAAGCTACCACATATTACTATTGATTGTATTGAAAAATAAAAATCCTCAAGGAACATGATGAGATACTTGTAAACCCTGTTAGCTGTGTTAGGTCAAACGTTACACACGCAATACGCACAACCCAAAAAACAAGAGAAGAACACAAGAATTTA